AGCAGGAGGAGGCGGGGTCATAGTGGTACTATCCACTGCAGCATCATGGGATCTTGATACAAAGAATTCTTCAACCTTGTTCAACCTTTGGACGAAGACCTACTTCGACTAGTGGATGGTACCACGATGACCCCGCCGCCTCATGCTTCGCCTCACCTGGCTACAGGTGATAGCGCTACCTTTGATAGCACAACCGTTGACCAACTCCCCATATGCAGCTGTTACGCTGAAGGCAATGTCTATTCCAATATACCATAAACAAAAATTCTTGACTTCAGCTCCCAGTTATTTTTTATAAAGGGAATTGTTGCCCCAGGGAATAACATTATCTTTCGAGTGATTCATAGATTTAATGTCAGATAACCTGGTCTAAGACCTTGAAATTCTTCTTTCATTGCAGCCACCACCATCTCTGCATATGCTTGAAAGAAAAAAAGTATGTTTCTGAGTGTTGACTTGCAAGATTTACAAAATTCGACTCTGTTACTAGAAGGATTTCCAGGAAAGTAGAACTTTTGAAATATGACAATGTAATGATTGTTTTTGTGTATTACTGTTACCTCCAATAGCTGTTTCAGTCATTTTCTTACGTGCATCGTCTTGATTTTCTCTTCATCTATCAGCTTACGTCTTTTTATTACTAGGTTCTAAGTGTGTGATTAGGTTTGAAGCAGACTTCGCAGACGCCATAATCTTGTTTCTGTACTGATGTCGGTAGAATTACCGACAATATGTTTAGTAAAAGTACACCTGTGCAACTAATGCGACAGTTTATTGTGGCAGCATTTCGCTCTCCAGGAGCTCTGTCAAGTTGTATCGAGTTGACAGAGCTTCTGGAGAGCGAAACGTTGCCACAATAAAATGTCGCATTTGTTGCACTTTTTCATTTACCTAACAATCTGTTTCCGCAACTCGCACTTCGCTAATTTTTTTTCTCAGTAACTAACTATTCTTAACAATGTACATCAGAGGTGCTGTGGTAGACTTCCTCTGAGGCTTCCATTCTTATTATATTCAACACACTATTGTTCCAAGTTCCAATCTGCCAATAAAAGACTACACAGACTACATTACACAGCAAATGAGTGACAGTGTCACAACATATAACATTGCTGGCCTTCCCCATTCACCCTTACATAAATACTTTAGCAGTATTACTGGTCTAGTGGCTAACGCGACAGCCTGGAGTTTTGAGACTCTCTGACCGCGGGTTCAATCCCAGCCGGGGTATGGTTTTTTTTTTATCAGTATTGCTCGTGTAACAGTGTAGAAAATTAATTAACGAGTAGAGAAAAGAATAATCTTGGTGGTTATTTAACCCTATTTCCATTACATCCTTTTGCCTTTTACTGTTCTCCCTTGACCACCTGACCATTGCTTTCGCGAAGCCTCATAAAATATTGCAAAATAACTTGAAATCCACCTAAATTCTATATCTTCCTAATAGGATATCCCTATTACCAAATTTATGAAATATAATGGTTTCTCCTTATTCATTTCATAACTCTAATTATTTAAGATATCCATGAATGATTATTCGTTTGAGTATTCATAACCGGTGACTTACTGCTTTCAAAAATCAACTTTTCCTCTAAGGTCTCGTACCAATGTCAATATCATAAACACAAAACCTTGGACACGTAATAAGTATGTCTTAGGTTTTTACTCGGGAAGCAAGGCATCCATTGGTCGACAAGTGTCGACAACGGCTAAGGAAGGATCCCAGGCGAGATCCGTGGACCCAAACAACGAGAACCACATCCAAATGTAGTTGTATACCAGCTGAAATGTACTTTTTATTTTGTCATTAGCCCATTATAGTGCCCCAGTTTTGTAATGTAATTCAAGCCGCTGACAGTGTCAATTACATTACGGTTGTTTTTAAATATAAAAGCTCAATTACAGTTACTAAAAAAATAATTATATTCAATTATTTAATTTAAATTGCAATTGCTCCACGGCTGGTTTATACACACAGAGGGGCATGTGTACACACCCAGTGTGTGTACACACCGAGGGTGTGTGCACTCCAGAGGCACGTTGACGCGACGTGGCCGTGTGTGCGTGAGTGCAGGCGCGCATGTGGCTGTATGCGTGAGGACGTGTTCAATCAACTTTAAGAAAATGGAATGTTATGTAAATACCGACAAGACGGAATAAACACTCAGATGTAGTGGGTAAATATATTAGCAACAACGTTTCGCCCAGACAGCTGTCGATTATTGACTACGAAAAAAAAGTTTTTTTTTTTTATCATCATAGAGACATTTTACTCTGTATTTTAGGAAATAATCATAAACCTTAAATTCCCGGGGATGTTATTTCTCAGAGAACTTGAGATATCTGATCAAATCTACGGACTTGAAGCTTAGTGTCATGACTCTAAGTACACGTTAACGCTAAATGGAACTGCCACAAATATTGTGGAAAGACCAACGGCATAAATTTATTCATTGTTGGAGGAAAAGATGCAGTACGGTGCTGCTAGTGGAACTTCGACCCTTTGAGATGTTGGCGCTAGAATACAAATATGCATGGAGTTTGAACCAGCATGTGTTGATACCTTGGGGTCGAGATGCAGGAAAGGAAGACGTGTAGTGGGAAATTTCACGGGAAGTAATTTGATGTATTGAAAACGAGAGAGAGAGACTGGGTAAGTCTCGTTGTATTGAAAATGAGAGAAAGACATCACTGGCACAGTCTCGTTGTATTGAAAATGAGAGAGAGGCATCACTGGCACAGTCTCGTTGTATTGAAAATGAGAGAAAGACATCACTGGCACAGTCTCGTTGTATTGAAAATGAGAGAGAGGCATCACTGGCACAGTCTCGTTGTATTGAAAATGAGAGAAAGACATCACTGGCATAGTCTCGTTGTATTGAAAATGAGAGAGAGGCATCACTGGCACAGTCTCGTTGTATTGAAAATGAGAGAGAGGCATCACTGGCACAGTCTCGTTGTATTGAAAATGAGAGAAAGACATCACTGGCACAGTCTCGTTGTATTGAAAATGAGAGAAAGGCATCACTGGCACAGTCTCGTTGTATTGAAAATGAGAGAAAGGCATCACTGGCACAGTCTCGTTGTATTGAAAATGAGAGAATGGAATCACTGGCACAGTCTCGTTGTATTGAAAATGAGAGAATGGAATCACTGGCACAGTCTCGTTGTATTGAAAATGAGAGAAAGGCATCACTGGCACAGTCTCGTTGTATTGAAAATGAGAGAATGGAATCACTGGGACAGTTTCGTGACACAATAAGGATTGGGCAGTACTTAGAAATGATCCCTTTCAATAAAAAATTTTACATTTAAGAGAACCCTGTATGCAAACAGCAAGAGCTGTAAAAATAATCTAAAATTGAATTGACTAAAGATAGAGAGTTGTGAGAGCTACAGTAAACTTTTATATTAAGAGCTTGAAATAGGATTTATTTACGATTAATCCTTAGCAATTTTGTTTTTTTGAGAGACATGTACACATTTGTTAAGATCTGAATGTAGACTACAAGGTGAAGCTTCCTCGTTGTTGCCTGGATATGGAGCATATCATTTAAGGTCATCTAATTGTTGTGTGACGTATGCTAGAAAGAACTTGTTGCATTCACTCCTACTCATGAAAAGTCAAGTAAAAGTGCAGTATCATAATGTTAATGTTAATAACACACTTTTCCCATGACCATCTTTAATATTAATGTTGTAGGTAACGAATATCAACCTGGTACTTTACCAGATCATCATAATAAACCTGTCCTTATTCTTTACGATATAATGCCAGACACATGTATACTGGAAGACTTATAAAAAATACCAATGGAACTAAACTAGTTCAATTTCAAAATGAGCATAATTGAGCCTAGTTATACACATGACGGCCTGTAACTCAGTGAATCCTGCATAACTCGTACATGTAGAAATAAAGATCTTATTTTTGCATTATACGATTCATAACTCTGTTATAGTTGATAGATCACTTCCATGATTCACAGCTATCTTTATCATATTTTCAGTAATCATTAAACTAAGTACAAAAAGAAAAATCACATTCTTAACCAAGATTATAGAGATAACTTCATTAATTGTTAGGATCAATGATCTCAGAATTACGAGCCCACTGGCACACAAAAATTTAATGATGATTTAGTTGCCTTCCCCCCATTGAGAACTTGCTCACAGGTCAGGTGAATATTATAATGATCCACCACTATTTAACTTAACACGTGTAGTTAGAGGGACTGGCGATGCATAGTAACGGGATTGGCGAAGCATAGTGACTGGAGAAACCCGGAATTACTCAGTAACATCAAAACATAAGAACGTAACAAAAACATAACAAGAACGTAAGCGACGGGAAAAGGAAAAATTTTTACTTGGTTAAACAGATCTACCCATCTTAACCCGTCAAAGAAGGTTCCTTGACGCTGGTGAGGGGCTCTTGATCTAGCGAATTGGATCTATGCTCCAGTTCTCTGAATTAAGCCTGAATATCTTCCACCTCCCCCCCCACAGGTGTTGTATAATCCTACGGATTTACCGCTTCCCACTTGATTATAATAATAATACCCATCTTAAGTCTAGTCTGGAAATGTATAAATCGAAAAAAACAAACTAGGAAAGGGTGGAAAGATTGGTCGGTTTTTTTCCACTGGAAAAACAAAGTGCCACAATACCATCAACTAAGATGCAATTAAAACAAGTAATGTTATCCCAGAGAGTTGCGGTTCATCTGATTCCCGCAAACGTTACTTCACAAACATCATGATTAAATACATTTAGATTTTGAAAAGGCAAATCTCCGAACAACACGAAACAATGATTATTTCTGACACTGTGAACACCACTGGATTCTGTCAGGGCTTAACCAGGGGTTTACTTGTCTATACAGGTTTATATCTGCAATACACAAATCATATATCAGAAAACAGTTTCCTAAGCGCTGAGCTTCAGCTGCTGCATCAGAGAAACAAGCAGTTCACTAACACATGTCTCTTACTTTTCAGACTGTCAATTACGGTGACAGTGGAGCTCAGCAGGGATAAAGAAAGGTCAGTCGCTATTGAATTTTAGTCACTTTGCAGTTTCTCTTTTCTAGTCCCTACAGCTTTATTGTCACTCTAGGTTAGAGCTAGTCTGCATGCCTTGTCACTCAAGCTTGGCGCAGACCTCCATATCACACTGTCTTACAGCAGACGTATATATCTTGTCACAATGAATATTGCATTGATGGATGCAACCTATGTTGCATATGTGATAAATGTGACAATATCTCAGTGAGTTCTTTACACGTATTTCAGATCATTATAATTAATAATCGTATATGTATTTTCTAAGTCACTTATTGTTATAGCGGAGAAAGAGAATTATATATATAAGAATAAATTCCAAAAATGCGTTTTTCTACAAAGTTTACTTGACAACATTTAAGAATGACTCTTCTGGTCGGTTTCAAACTTTCAAAGCAGAGTTAAGTTTGAAATAGTGTTTATAGGTGCTAGTTTTATTGAGCAGCTGGGAATATTGGTTTCCTACAGCCTAAGAATGACTTACAGAAACTATAATACAAGGTATTTAACACTTATGGTATTGTTAGGTGACTGTTTTGGTAACTCTCCGCAGACCTGCATCTCCGTGGAGGTTCTTTGACGCTGGTGAGGGGCTCTTGATCTAGGGAATTGGATCTGTGCTCCAGTTCCCTGAATTAAGCCTAAATACCTTCCACATCCCCCCCCCCCAACAGACGATGTGTAATCCTACGGATTTAGCGCCCCCCATAATTGTAATTTGCAGACCTGCATCTCCATAAATCCACATCAAGAATATATGTAGTTAGTGTTTTGAGAAAGCCTATTGTGTTCACCTGATCTATCGTACATAAAGAAAACTTCGGTCTATTATTAAGCAATGAAGGTAATTTTAATAAAAAATTCGTTGCATTACATATACGTAATCCACAGAAAGGTTTAAATTAATTTTGGGAAGTTTAGATGCAAATTTTTAATTACATAATTAAAAATATAATTAATTAAAAATTATATAATTATAAATGGTGATTATTGTTTTTGAGTGAAAGTTTGAGAACATTTCTTTTGGTACTGTGTAGTTTCTAACTTCACAGTTTTAGTAGACAATTTATAATATTGGTTTCGGTCCGATAACTGGAAAATGTTTTCTAACTCCAACGTTAAATTTTTAACGCATACCACTACCATTTCTAGTTTAAAGCTCTAACAGCACCCTCCACTGCGTTGGCCAGTGCTCCCACCTAGATAAGTGAACCCCTTTACTGGAATTTATCCCCTCAAGGAAGGTTCCTTGATGTTGGTGAGGGGCTCTTGATTTAGGGAATTGGATCTGTGCTCCAGTTCCCCGAATTAAGCCTGAATGCCTTCCACATCCCCCCCCCAGGCGCTGTATAATCCTCCGGGTTTAGCGCTTCCCCCTTGATTATAATAATAATAATAATACTGGAATTTATATCGAGAAGTGTAAGCAATAAAAATCATCTGATTCTTCAACTCTAAAATGCATCTTGTCAAATAAGAAATTCACAATTTTATTGGCCTTGTAGGAAGTAATATGTAAGTCTATAAAAAAAAATGCTGGGTATCATATTTACTCTTGAAGAGCACTAAGATTCGTTATACCATCATGTGTCAATTCCATTATTTCCTGTACGATTTCTTTTAGCCATTTAAGAAATATGAATTTTAACCTTGTACCTGCAACAGGTCTAAAAACCTGAGCTTAATTCATTTAAATAAAAATTGATTGCTGTGCTCTTAGCCTATTGCAAGGATTAAGAAAATAATGAATTTCATAAGAATCAGTTTATTGGTTTGCGTAAAATGCTGTATTATTGACGCTAACTATTTTAAAAATAATTATCTCCCTATCTCCATCCCTTCCAGCGAGGGGCTCTTGGTCCAAGGATATAAAATCTCATTGCCTCCCATTTTCAAGGCGTCGTTTGGATCCCCCACGGATTTAGACCTCTTTATGAATGTAATAATGAAAAAAGCCTACTTCTGCATGGTACAACATAGCGGTAATACATATGGACAAATCCAGCTTATGGAGAATCATTCGTCTCATACATTGGAGCTGCTTCATTATTACAATCAAAAGGAAATGCTAAACCTAACAAGTTCATACAGCTCTACAGGGTAGGAATTGATGCAGGATCTAAGGATAAATAAAGGTGGAAATGATAATGAAGGTAAAGTTAGGAAGGACTGTAAGTGCTAAAGGAAGGATTAGTGAAGGTGCTTGAGTGGGTTGATTTCCAACTCTGTCCTTTTTAAGGTGTTATTTCTTTGTTTCACTAGAAACTAAGCACAAGAAAACTCGAACACCTTAGTTATTTATAATTAAGATATGATACTAGGTTTAGCACATCACGTAAGTAAATATTTGATATAAAATGGACACTGTAATTACAATAGCTTCTGCCCTAGGCTGTATACCACAAAATTAATAGTTCAGTGAAATAGAAGGGTTAGTATTATTATATATAAATATATAAAGCCTACTAAGAAAAGGTCTTTTCAAGGAGATATGGAATGGTAGTGTGCATGGTAATGTGTGTATGTGTATTGGGGTAATGCCCTATACAAAGTGGCAGAGACCTTCCCAGAGCAACGTCATAAGACGTCACATTGAAATCGGTCAAAGAGGGTAAAAGAGCTATTACATCATAAAGCATCAAATTATGTTGGCCAGTCATATGTCTGAAACGAGATGGTGTTTGAGAGTAGACACAACCTGGACTTGTTTGCTCCGTATTCTATCTATATAGCATATAAATATGTTATATTAAAATATACACACCAAAATACATTAAGAAGTCATTATAAAGACAGTAAATATTTGTTAATCCTTTTGTGTAATATATCCCAGCTCTTAATATTTCAGATTAACGAGGAATAAATTAACATAAAACGTATAGTACAGCATTAATAAGTGAAAGTACAGTGTGTGTATATAATGCTGTATATAGTTGCCTTAAATGTTGAAGTTTCAAATAGGTAAGGTAATCATTACTTCTTCTTTCATCCCATTCCAGTAATTAACCATTCAGTACAGTATGGTGAACGGACACGTCAATACATGTAAATACATGTCCCACATGTATTAACGTTTCTATTGAGGAGAAAGTGATCCTCTATGCACACTAGGCACTTGATGACTCGGATATTTGCTAGCGGAGACTGATTTCATCACGTTGTTGTGCTAAAGGTTCAAATTACATTCCATGAACCTGCATATGCCTATTCTGCCTCGTCCCCCTGCACTAATTTTGGTACACACTTACTGGACGCTAGCTGGATCGTCAGCACCTAGCGGCCATCATTGTAAACAAACGTGTTCCTAGTGCGGCAACGGGGAACAATATTCAAATGAGACTGATTGCGTTTAAAAACTGATGTTCATGAAGCTTCATGGCATGCCACTGGAACACCTAATGAAATATAGTTAAATCATGAGTTTAGCGTTTTGGAAGTACCTGTGTACGCGTAGACATTTTGCTCTTAATTAAAGTTTATCAAATCATGTATAGGTAAACTTACTCTGCTTGTTCTGCAGTCAGCCATCATACCCCATGAAAAGATAGTTTTGCCAGCGAGACGTTCGGTGCCCCTTCTACACGTCTTTATACTTGAAGCCTACAATAGTTCAAGTGGACACTACCTCCTCTTTGATAATTTTCCGGATGTATCATCTCTCCCTCTCTGATTTTGCAACGAAAGCATTTAGTAATGCCACTTTTTCTCCACGTCTCCTCTAACGAGGGCGTTTGTCACTAACCCCTCTCTTGCAATGGGAGAGTTATATCATGCTTGCTCTCGCCCCCCCCCCTCTCTCTCTCTCTCTCTCTCTCTCTCTCTCTCTCTCTCTCTCTCTCTCTCTCTCTCTCTCTCTCTCTCTCTCTCTAACAGCGAGGATGTTTAGTTATGTTACGCCGCCCTCACTACTGCTTCAAAAAAAAAGCGTTTAACTGGTTTGTTTACTGGGTTTAAAAGCTCTGTGTCACCTGTTCACCACTAATCTAGAATGCTTTATTCCCTCAAGTAAGGAATAGCGCAAACTCACAGCATATATGTGTTTGTAGTCTCCCCATTTCATCTCTTGAATCCAGAGTATCTCAGTTACCTCCAATTATTCTATAGCATACTTAAATTTTTAGCTCTAAAATGCATTTTTTGTAACTGGTTTTCAAGTACAAACACTACAATGCGTCATGATTTTTTTTATTTCTACATCGGCTTATTTGAAAGCTGTTTTAAAGTTAAAATACAGCTCTCAATTTGGTTGGTTCTTCTTCGACCCTAAGATCACACAGTACATATTCTGCATGGTAACAAACAGCAACGACACTCTGGCTGTACCCTTCTCAAGAACGTCACTTCATCTGAGATCATTTATTTTAATGATGAATCGAGTCTGGAGCATGTTCGCTGGCTCACAGATGCCTCCAACTGCATCCAATTCCCCATTTGTACGTCTCGTAATGAAAAGGCTTTGAAATGAGCTGATGTAGGTAACAGTTCTCAGCTTGTAAATAAAGGTATGAACCCTCAGTCTTGCCCTGTAAAACTCTTGTGTGTAGAGGAGAGAGAGAGAGAGAGAGAGAGAGAGAGGGGGGGGGGGGGGGGGGGGAGGAGGGAGGGGGAAGTAGTAAAACAGGAGTGTTTCCCCTTTAAAAATAAAACATGCAGACCTTGTGACAATTTTGTTTTTGTTTTGAGAACAATTAGAAGCATAAAATGTGGGAAATGCAGACAAATCCTGCATAAAGCTTGTGCTGTCGTAATTAACAACAAAGAGCTCAGGGAGGGAGATTTTCCGCTGGATGTGTGCATCAGATTAACAAATATAGACAGATGTACTGAATTATATTTTAATAATTGTGTTCCTTAAAAGTAATGACTTGCTCAGAAAACCTACCTAAAATATCTGAAACTTGAGAAAAGAATAAACAAGTCAGAGGGAAAGCAGAGTGGCGGAAATAAACGAAAGAAATAAGATAGTACTAATAGACAATAAA